TCTTGGTCTCGGACAGAAAGGCGTGATAGAATACTGACCAAATCCGACCTGCCAGCTCATTCCAGGCACATGAATAATTGTCCCTACCCCACCGCCGAGCGCGTGAGTGACACTCAGGCAGATGGAACGAGGATATCATTACGGGGAAATGGGCTGGGGATTAGGGATGCTGGCGTGAGTTTCTGGCCTCATTTTTTACCTTTTTGAAATCCCCACTTCTTTGATATTCACACAGCATCATGTCGAAGAAGATTGGTATGGTGGCTTTCCGGAGCTCAGCCTCAGGGATAAGTGTCATCTCTAATATAGGTCCCACCATGCCTGGGATGAAGCAGATTTTGTTCTGGCCTGAAAGAGAGACACGGACACATAAAACAGTTTTGTGAAGCACAGATCCTCCCTAGACCAAGCCTGGGGAGAGAGAAAAGAGAGGCATAACAGTAAAAACCACAGTTAACACTTATGCCGTTGTTTACCACGAACCAGGCACCGTTTTGAACACTTTACATATATTAACTCCTGCAAGAGGCACATGCATCATCCCAAATGAGCCCCATTATTAAGGATAATAACGCGGGCGTGTGTAAAGCACTGCACTGTTTGCAGGGTTTTCACCTGCATTATCTGCTCTGCAAATAGGGCCGTGATTGAATATGTTTATGACAGTAAAGCACAGGGACATTTGAAATTATGTCTGTCTGCAACACAAACTGCGTTTCTGAGATGGCAAAAATGTGCTTCTACCAACTGTTTCATGAAATGAGGAAAGCAACATTTGCTACTAAGAACCTGCTACGTATGCCAGTATGGTCAGTACAACAGTGAGATTTAAAACATTGCTTGAGGACCAGATGAACCACAATTTCTTGTCTTTTCTGCATCATTTCAAAGCATTCCCTTGCACCCCCCTGTGCTGGCCCCTGGCATCCTAGCCTCACTGGCCTAGCTCACAAGCCACAATTCCACCTTGCTTCCTCCTCCACGAGGCTTGTGCACACACCGTTCCTTTGCTGGGAATACTTTTCCATGCCTGCTCCCCAATCCACACCCTTTAACATGTGGCTTCCCTTCAGGGGGTTGCATCTTAGCTCAGACACTCCTTCCTCTGGGAGAAAAGCCCCCTGCACATTCCCACATCACCCCCAGCTAGATCAGATTCCCTGTACCGGCTCCTGATGTTCTGCCTTCTTACCCAATTTTGAAATGACGTCTTTATCTGTGGACTCATTTGATTAATATTCGTCTCCCCCATTGAGAGCTTCATGAGAGTAGAGACCATGTCTGCTCTCATTGTTGTATCTGTAGCACTGAGCACAGAGCCTATTAGATGCTCTGTAAATTTCTGTTAAATGAGGACATAACATTTGTCTTGCTCCTACACTCACTTGGGCATGTGTCCCATGAAAGTGCAATAGCGACACCCAGGTGGTGAGAAGATCATGTGAAAATGTATCTGCATGTACGCAGCACAGAGCATGGCAGAATCAGGGACGAGTGGCAGAGTCAGTGTTGCCCAGTGATGAAGGGCACCAAATCTGAACCCAGGCTGCCTGGATTTGTAAACGGACGCCACCATCAACTAGCTGTGTTATGGTGAGCAAGTTGCCTTACCCCTCAGGGCCTCAGTGTGCTCATCTGTAACGTGGGATAATAACAGCATTTATCTCATAGGGTTGTTGTGAAGGGCAAATGAATTATCACTTATTGAGCAGCCAGGACAATGCTCAGCACACTTTCTATGGTGTTGGCTGTGATCGCTGTGATGTTCGGCCACGATGGACCGCGGAAGGCAGACTCGTTGAGTAGAACTGAACAAACTCCTCAGACTGTATCTATCAGAAGTGGCAGACAGGGAATAAAGAGGGACACTTGGGAACTGCAGAGATCTCCGGGGAAGCACAGGTAGGCAAGTTCAAGCGGCCTCATCACTTGTATATTTCATCAGCTGCTACCTCTTTCTCTCTCTGAGTTTCAGAGCGCAGGAAGCCCACCCTGGTTTTCTCCGTTGTCAGGATAAAAATTTGTGGTCCTCGCCTGCAGCAGAGAGCTCCGGGGGGTGCAGAAACTCAGGTGCATGGCGTGTGGCCTGGCACAGTTGCTTTCGATTAACGCTGAGAAAAGGAGCTGAGAGGGAAGGCAGCAAGAAAATGAATTTCCATTCAGCCTAAATGAGGCTTAATGTTGGAGTATTTCCCCAGAATTCAGATAAAAAAGGCATCATCCTAGGAATATCTTCAGTTAGTGAGAATGAAACGGTGAAGTCAGGCAGCAAGTAGAGTGAAATATAAAGATTCTTTTCCAGGGAATCAGTTTCATTATACAACCCATGTGTATTACACTTAAGCCTCCAGTCTTCGCTTTGGCCCAGATAGAAAACAACAACAACAACAACAACTTACTTTCTGGCAGGTTTATAGTAATTGCCAATCTAGGTTTCTGATTTCATCCTTTAAGATCCTTTAAGTCTTTTGCAAAACCAGTGGGGTTTTAAAATTCAAAGTCGAATGAAAAAATAGGTAGAAGGTAAATGGGAAACTGTCAGATAAGCTACCATGGAAGGGAGAAATTGCTTATGCAACAAAGGCCTTTAGAATACTGGAGGGCATTGGGCATGATAAGGATATATTTAAGATGGTTTAAAATAGAGGGCAGACATGCTGTAGACCGGGATTTCTTATATACTTTCGACCTGCGTTCTTTGCAGGCACTTGAGGAGATATTTGGCAGAATAGGAAAGAGGAGAGAGAGAGATGTTGATCTCTAAATACAATGTGATCTCAATGGTTCTCACAATGCTCCCCTAAAGAAATCTTATTCATTTGTGTAAAAAATGAAATGTCAGCACATTGGATATCGTGTTCAATTAATCCAAATGTGTGTGTATGTTGCGTATCTTTATATACATACTATATACACATGTACTGAACAAATTTGTGGCTAATTAAATACAAACTAATTTGGAAAACAAAAGGTCCTCATCCAAGAGACACACCTGCTGCTGTATGCGAGAAAAGGCAAGGAAGGGAATTAGTAGGAGGGTCTTTTTAATATAATTGAAGCCAATTCTCACTGGGAACAGATACCAATTAGAAAAGGCTTTTAAAGTGCCAATAAGCCAGCAGGATAAATCCCAACACCGAATAGCACAGGCTCTAGGAAAGGCTCTGGTGGAAATGCCAGTGCGGGAAGAGCTTAGGTGTGTGGGTGGAAAGGAGTCCCATGTGCTCCCTGGCCGTGGTTTTAATCTGTGCAATGGCCTCATCCATCACTGCTCTCTGGGGTAGACTGTGAGGCGGGAGGCAAAGGGTCTGAGGCCACTGAGATGACCTTGAAAGAACAAAAGGGAGACCTTTGCCACTCTGGCTGAGAATGCAGAGGGGCAAGCCACCGACCTTCTGAGGCTGGCATGGGACAGACGGGCACTATCACTTGGGGGTCTCTAAAGGCTGGTGTGGACCCTGCAATGAACAGGGATGAGGGCAAGTTATAACTCCTTGGATTTCAGAGTCTGGCAAGTCCTCTAGGGACTCTGAAATAAAGCTGGGCTGATAATAAAACATCACTCATTCAGTTCAAAAGGAGAAGAAAGAACATAGATCTCTCCTCCTCTCTCCTAGGCTTGGAAACCTCCTCCTGGCCATGCTCTGAGATAGGCAATCAATAATCCTCTCACTATTCAGGGCATGCCCAGCCCCGCCTCCCTCTAGGCCCCAGAAAGTCTGTGAACCTGACAACCTGGGTCAGGTCCTGCCACTGCCTCCCCCCCACCCCACCTCCAGCCCCCACGGCTGGGTGCCACTATGCTTTTCAGCTGCCTTCTCTGAGCCTCTGTGATCTCATCTGTAAAATGGAGATAAGAAGGATGCCTTCCTGGTAGAACTGTTGAGAAGCTTAGAAGAGTTTATGTGAACAAAGGGCTTTGCACAGTGTCTGGCACTTTAAGGAAAGCTCTGGAAGTGGCGATGCTGATTATGATGGTGACGGTGGTGACGAGTACTTGGGGCTCAGCCACCTGCTGGGCTCTGCATAAAACTATATGGAGAGACAAAGTCCAACCCTGTGGAGGTCTCTAGAGCTTTCCACGGAAATGTTCAGGCTGGTCATTTTATTTGTTCATTTTTAGAGCAAACAGCCAAACTGGGGACAGGGTCGGGATGGATTTATATTCTCTGCCGTGGCTGACGTTCACCACCCTCCACGCTCTTCTCTATCCCGCTGAAATATTTCATAAGCTATCCTCAAAGATGTGTGAAAAGGCCCAATCTGATCATATTGATTCATAGCTTTTGCCCAAGGCATCCCTTGCTCTTGGGACCACGCTCTGCAAGCCCGTTCGGTGCCGTCCTCCCTGTCCACGCCCATGTCACGCCTCTCACCTGCCCGTCCTCCATCCACCTGGTGCTCCCTGCTCCTCCCGCGTGGGCACTAACACGTGTCCGCCTCTGCCGGCTGGCTCCCCCCTCCCTCTCCTGGACCCCAGCCCCACTCCCCACTCCAGCCCCAGCCCACACATGCCCTGCTGCAAGTCCGTCCTCACTTGCTCTCTGGGGCCACACTATTCAGTACTATTCATACTGCCACGTGTGTCTTTGGAGCACTTGAAATATGGCTAGTCCAAAATGAAATGTGCCGTAAGTGTAAAAAATTCCATCAGATTTCAAAGAATGAGTTCCAAAAAAAAAGAGAAACCTCAGTAACATTTTGTATTGATTACAACTAGTAATACTCTGGAATGATAATACTTTGGAATATCAGGGTTAAATATGTTGCTAAAATTAATTTCACTGCTCCTTTAGAACTTTTTTTAAAGTAGACACTAGAGCATTTAAGGTTGGCAGGTGGCTCCCATCCTACACTAAAGGACAGCACTGCTGGGAACGTGGGCTTCGGGCGCTTTGGAGTCAAGGCCATCCGTGGCTCACTCGCCAGGCAGGGGTCTGTCATCGATTCTCTGAGTGCCCCAAGTCTCTGCTCGATGGCTGGTCCCCCTTCACAGCCATAATGAAATAACTCTGCAATTAGTCTATACTTAACTATTTAGTGCAATGACCACCAGTCTGTGAGGTCAGCGACGATATCTCTGCCCTGTTTTTGGTTTTAACCCCAGCTACTGGCATTTAGAAGGTGCATGTATTAGTTTCCTGTGGCTGCTGTTATAAATCACCACAAATGTAGCGACCGAAAACAACACAAATTTATTATCTTGCATTTCTGGAGTACAGAAGTCTGAAAATCAAGGTGTGGGCAGGACTGAGCTTCTTCTGGAGGGTCTAAGGAAGCATTTGTTCCCTTGCCTTTTCTAGCTGCTAGAGGCCCCCTGCACTCCCTGGCTCGTGGCCCCTTCCTCC